TGTGCCGCATCCCTGCTGCGCGTGTCCGCGCGCCACGGTTGGCGACTGTCACTGCTTGGGTGTCTGGGTGGGGGGTACCCAGCCTGATCCCTGCCACCCCCTAGAGGGCAGGCGTGGCCTCGGGGAGCCCCTGCTGGGGTGCAAATTGTGGCTAATGAGCACTCAATTCGATGGCACTCGAAGAGGGAGTAGGCGCCATCCGGGCCCGGCCCGAGCAGGCCCTGGAGAGGCTACCCGGGTCCGCACCGTGGAGCCCTCCTCCTGGACCCCTGGGTTGGGGAGGGCAGGCCAGCAGGGAGTGTGTGCCTTCCAGGGAGTGTGTGCCTTCCTGCCCCTGTTCGGGGACTGTGACCCGCATAGATCAAATGAGGCCACCGTGGAGAACTGGCAGAGCTGGAATCCTCCCTCCCAGCGCCCCTGCGGTCTTTCGCTGACCACAAGGCTGGTTGGTGGTCAGGCCTCCCACCTCCCCCACCCTCTCCTCTCCTCTTTCCTGACTTGGCAAGCGGATTCCTGCCTGGGTCAGGGGGTCTTCTCCAAGGGAGGCCTTCCCTGACCCTGTCTTAATGTTCCACCACCTAACTTTCCTGTCCTCGGGGCACAAACCTCTCTAACCTGGAGAATTCACATTCACATTGGGATGCTCAAATTCTTTAGAAAAACCCAGAGATCTGGGGGCAGGGCATGGTAGTTCACGCCTGTAAACCCAGCACTTCGGAAGTATCACTTAGGCTGGTAGTTTGAGACCAGGCTGGTCAACACAGCAAGACCCCATCTCTACATAAAATGTTTTGTTTTTGTTTTTTTTAAATTAGCTCGGCTACTAAAAAGTAGCCTGTAATCCCAACTACTTGGGAGGCCAAGGTGGGTGGATCACTTGAGCCCAGGAGGAGGTCGAGGCTGCAGTGAGCTATGATCGCTCCACTGCACCCTAGCCTGGGTGACAGAGCGAGACCCTGTCTCCATCTAAAAACAAGCAAACATGCTGGGCGCGCTGGCTCACGCCTGTAATCCCAGCACTTTGGGAGGCCGAGGCAAGTGGATCACCTGAGGTCGGGAGTTGGAGACCAGCCTGACCAACATGGAGAAACTCCATCTGTACTAAAGATACAAAATTAGCCGGGTGTGGTGGCACATGCCTGTAACCCCAGCTACTCGGGAGGCTGAGGCAGGAGAATTGCTTGAGTCTGGGAGGTGGAGGTTGCGGTGAGCCTAGATCACGCCATTGCACTCCAGCCTGGGCAACAAGAGTGCAACTCCATCTCAAAAACCAAAAACAAGCAAACAAAAACAAAAAAACGAAAGATCTGGTGACAAAGATTGCTCCTGGGGTGCAGCAGGAATGCCCCCTGGCGGGGGGACAAGAGCCCTCAGGGTGCACAGCCCCCTCCCTTCCTCCTGTTCCTGGGCTCACACTGCTGTGGCACAGGTGGCCACCTTGTCCTGTTTTTGGAATCTCTCTGGCCCCCGCAGGCACTGGAGTTTGAGGCTTCCTGGCCCTTGCTTGAAAAGGCTGCACTCTGGTGGCTTCCGCCCCAGGCTAGAAAAAGTGCAGCAAGAACCTGGCTTTGGAGACAGTCATCTAGGGTCATGGGACCTTTTTGCAGCCAGGTAACTGCAGGTAAATGACTGCCTTGCATCTGTGAAGCTGAGATGGCAGCCTGCTAGGCAGGATAAGGACGAGCAGATAGGGTGAGGAGGATATGTTCAGGAGTATAAGATCAGAGCAGGTGTGTACCTGCCTCCTCTAGCCTCCTGCAAGGCCTCATGCCCTGAGGGGCCCCTCCCCTCTCAGGTCTTTAAGCTGGCTTCTTTCTGATAGGATTTACACATCCTCAGGGCTCTCCCATCTTAAAAACATGCTACCCTGGCCAGGCGCAGTGGCTTATGCTTACGCAGTGGCACTTCGGGAAGTCAAGGCAGGAGGATCATGTGAGCCCTGGCTTTGGAGGCTGCAGTGAGGCATGATCAAGCCACTGCACTCCAGCCTGGGCGACAGAGCAAGACTCTACTGGCCAGGCGCGGTGGCTCACGCCTGTAATCCCAGCATTTTGGGAGGCCAATGTGGGCGGATCATGAGGTCCAGAGATAGAGACCATCCTGGTCAATATGGTGAAACCCTGTTTCTAATAAAAATACTATATATACACATACACACACACATACACACACACACATATACACACACACACAGTTGGGTGTGGTGGCGCATGCCTGTAGTCCCAGCTACTCGGGAGGCTGAGGCAGGAGAATCGCTTGAGCCCAGAAGGCGGAGGTTGCAGTGAGCCAAGATCACACCACCGCACTCCAGCCCGGTGACACTGTGAGACTCCATCTCAAAAAAAAAAAAAAAAGACTATGTAAAATATAAAAGAGCTACCCACTTCTCCTTCCTGCCCTTGACAGTCAACCTTCCTTTGCCGTATCCCCATCTGCCCATCCCTCCTTCTCCTCTCTGACCTGGCCTCACCGCAGCCAGGCAACTTCCCATGATATCACCAGCAACGTCCATGTCACTAAACCCTCATCATGTTTGGCCTCTGGGCAGCGTTGGACACTTCAGCCATGCTGTCCAGGGAGAAACACCTTGGTTCCCCTTCCTCTTGGCTCCTTCTCTGACACCTTGCAGGCTCTGCTCCCCTCCCTCCGGCTCGTTGCTCACCTGTGCACCAGAGAGGTATCCCACCGTGTCCACAAACAGTTCCTCCCACTGAGCTTTTTGTTGCTGTTTGTTTTTGAGACAGGGTCTCACTCCCATTGCCCAGGCTGGAGTGCAGTGGCACAATCACAGCTCACTGCAGCCTCAACTTCCCAGGCTCAGGTGATCCTCCCACCTCAGCCTCCCAAGTACCTAGGACTACAGGGATGTACCACCACACCTGGCTAATTTATTCTTTTGTTGAGATGAGGTCTCCCTATGTTGCCCAGCTTCGTCTTGAACTCCTGGCCTCAAGCAATCCTCCCACCTCAGCCTCCCAAAGTGCCGGGATTAACAGACATGAGCTACTGCACCCGGCTATTTTATTGATTGATTGATTGATTTAGAGATGGAGTTTTGCTCTGTCACCCAGGCTGGAGTGCAGTGGGACAATCTCAGCTCACTGTAACCTCTGCCTCCCAGGTTCAAGTGATTCTCCTCCCTTAGCCTCCTGGGTAGCTGGGACTACAGGCGTGTGCCATCACACCTGGCTAACTTTTGTATTTTTAGTAGAGACGGGGTTTCACCATGTTGGCCAGGCTGATCTCAAACTCCTGACCTCAAGTGATCCACCCTCCTCAGCCTCCCAAAGAGCAGGAATTATAGGCATGAGCCAGCATGCCTGGCCCCAGCTAGAATCTTTTTTTTTTTTTTTTTTTTTTGAGATGGAGTCTCGCTCTGTCGCCCAGGCTGGAGTGCAGTGGCCAGATCTCGGCTCACTGCAAGCTCCGCCTCCCAGATTTACGCCATTCTCCTGCCTCAGCCTCCCGAGTAGCTGGGACTACAGGCGCCTGCCACCTCGCCCGGCTAGTTTTTTTTTTTTGTATTTTTTAGTAGAGATGGGGTTTCACCATGTTAGCCAGGATGGTCTCGATCTTCTGACCTCATGATCCACCCGTCTCAGCCTCCCAAAGTGCTGGGATTAGCACCTGGCCTAGAATCTTTTAGTAAGCCTTCCCACATCTTCCTTTGGAGCTATAAATACTTCTCAACTCAACTTTCCACTTAGTCAATCTGGTCAGGAAAGTATTTGCTTCACTGTTTCCTTAGGGCATTTCTTCAGGGGTTTCCTCTCCGCAGATCCACACTGGGCAGGATGCTGTCGAGGCTGCTGCTGGCTGTCAACCTGGGACCCCCCATCACCATCTTTCCGGGATTTGGCTTTGTTAGCCTCACACTAATCCCTGTTCGCACACCATGTCTGTCTCTTTCTTATATTTTATTTTTTGAGTCAGGGTCTTGCTCTGTTACCCAGGCTGGAGTGCAGTGGTGCCACCATGGCTCATTGCAGCCTTGAACTCCTGGGCTCAAGTGATCTTCCTGTCTCAGCTTTTCTTTTCTTTTTTTGAGACAGTCTTGCTCTGTTGCCCAGGCTGGAGTGCAGTGGCACAATCTCAGCTCACTGCACCCTCCACCTCCCAGGTTTAAGTGATTCTCCTGCCTCACCTTCCTGCATAGCTGGGATTACAGGTGCCTGCCACCACACCCAGCTAATTTTTGTATTTTTAGTAGAGATGGGATTTTGCCACATTGATCAGGCTGGTCTTGAACTCCTGAACCTGTGATCCGCCCGCCTTGGCCTCCCAAAGTGCTGGGATTACAGGTGTGAGCCATTGCGCCCAGCCCTGTCTCAGCTTTTCAAAGTGCTGGAATTACAGGTGTGAGCCATGGCGCTTGGCCAAAGTCTTTATTCTGAC